ATCATTTTCATGATTTTTTTTTAATTAACTAAAATCATATTTGCTAATTTTTTGTGTTAGATTTGTGATCATACTAATTTATTATATGCTAAGATTGTAAATCTATACAAAAATAGACATGAATTAATAAAGTGAACAAATTTTTATAATTCTCAAAAAAATAATTATAAATACATACCTCTTGTATTGCTTTTATACTCTAAGGGCTCGTTTGGTGTGAGGGATTAGAAATAATAGTGATGGGATAAGGAAATAGTGATGAGATAAAAAAAAATTATGTTGTTTGGTTGGCAAGTCCGGGATAACTTATCCCGGGATTAATAATTAGTACCGGGATAAGTTATCCCTCCCCATGGGTGGTATAGTAATCCCGGGATAACTTATCCCGAGATAAAATAGGTAAATGACAAATATGTCCCTTTAAATCCTTTTTATACATCATTTTTTACATTTATGTATATTTACATTTTTTTTAATACCATGTATAATAATATTTACTACTCCTTATTTTTATGATAATTATACATATTTTTCTATTAAAAAATTATACTATATAAATATAATTTTTATTTATGAATTTATTTGACTAATTCTTATGTTTATTTTATTTTGATTTCTCATAAATTTTCTTCTCTTTAATAAACTTAAGAGGGAAGTTCTATTTTTAAGCTAAATAAGAAAAAAGTTATATTTTTAAATACACATGGTACTTATCATGGGAATACATAAACAAAAATATTTAAGTTAAATAAAATAAAAGTTTTATTTTAAAAAATGAATAACTAAAGCTCACAAAGAAATATTTAAAAAGTTTAAATAAAGTGAAGGGTAATTTTGTAAACAAACAACTTGTTCTTAAAATTTATTAATATATATTATTTTGAATATAACAAACCAAACACTCAATAAGAAATAATCTCAGGACAACTTATCCCATCATAACTAATCCCAACATAACTTATCCCAACATAACTTATTCCATCATAACTCATATTCAAACCAAACGACCCCTAAGGATCTTCCAAACAATAGAATTTAACTTTTTGAATTCAACGACACAAGCATTAAAAATAATGTAGAGATTAAAATTTGAATTAAATTTTTTTTTAAAATAAAATAAAGAATAATGATTATATATATTAATCTCTTGGATCACCCATGCATTTGTTATACAAATCGTATAATAAGAGTGTGTACCCTTCTTTATGTATAAATATTGCAAAAGCAAATGTCTAATTCTTGATATCCAAATTTTGTGTACCTACATAAATTTTGAAAAAAAAATTATAAGCCACTTGTTAAATTTTATGCCCAAAAAATTATTGCTTGTAATGCTGCATACGGATTTTTAAAAATATGTTTTATAATTTAATTTTTTTGAAAAACTGAGAGAATAAGATTAAACAAAAAATATGATTTAAGATATAACGAAAATTTAAAGTGATATATTAAACAATAATAGTTACCATTTTTTCCACGTTTTCTCCCTCAATAAAAATATCTTATTGAACAAATTGATTTTGTTATGCTTCCTCATGAAGCCTGTGAGAAAAGGGATGAAATAATATGCATTATCTTATATATAATATAAAGAATATAATGTATATAAACAAAGAATCAAAAAATTCACCATCCCAAAGTGAAGTACTCTTCATGTGTCGTCTCTTCAGATTTGTGAAGAACATTATAGAAAAAAATATTTTTTTTTTGTTTATATCTACTTTCTTTAAGAGGAGACGGTTTAAAAAATCATAAAGCAAAAAGATAAATAAAGAGATAGTAGTTTTTGAGTGGTTATTTGAAATTCAAAAATCCTGAAAGTTAACTATTAAAAAGGAGTCGCAAATGATTAATAATGGTAACAAAATAGGAATAAAGATCCGGTCAAGTATAATTAGGTCAAATAATGTTCAATGGCCTTATAGATTCATGTCATGTACTATATAATAATGGAAAAATTACCTAACTACACATCATTTATTATCATATTTTCTTATTTTCCCTACCATTTCAAAAAATATCAAAAATTCACTTTTTTGCTCTCATCATTCCTTTTTTCGGATAGATTAATTTGAAATCTCCTAACCATGATTTTTCTTCCTTTTTTCACTCCACAAATCTCTCCACAGTTACTATCATTAATCTATTTTTGAATTTCAAATCTTTTCTCTTTCCAATAAAAGATTTCAAGTTATTCAAGAGATAGATTTCTTTCATCCACTTCAATTTTTGACTTCTTTTATTTCTTTATTTATTTTGTCATCTTAAAAAATTAGTGAATCTTTTACTCCCGATCTCTTTATGGAAGAGAGGTGGAAAAACCTTGCTAATGCACATAGTTCATCTTGGAGTGCATTTGAAATAGTTCCAGGAATTTCTAATGGCGATCTTAATACACTTCATTACGTTGGTTCGATCTTTTAGTTTTTTTGGCCTACTTTCAATGTATCTCGCTTATTTTGATTCTTAAATTAGTCATTTTTAGTGTTATCACTGATCTGATACATCACTGCTACAATAACTTTTGTTTTATGCAATGTATCATGTTCATATTTAAGGTATTGATACATAGCTCTAATGTTATTGAATCTTCGATTAATGTTTATCATGTTCAATATAATTGTACTTGATACATAAATTTTTTGTTATGTATCACACACCAAAAAATATGTTATTTGAAACAATTACATGTATAATGTTTTTAAAATAAAATAAAATATAGTATTTCTCAAACAAAATAAGATACATAGATAATAATATATCATGTACTAGTTTTTTAGGCATGATATGTAAATTCAAATTCATACTAAATGTATCTGATGCATAACAATTACCAAACAATAATGTATCAATCTCAATAAATACACTTGATACATAAACCTTAATGTTTTGTAGCTAAAGCATTGTGTATCAAATTAATTGATGGGTGCATGATACATAATATATATCAAATTCAATAGTTTTCAAACTTTATTACATATATCATTATATGTATCAACTGATCACTACTGTTTTTGTATCCCACACAAAAAAATGTTATTTAGAATAATTATATGTATAATGTTTCTTTTTATAAAATACAATATTTCTCATACAAAATAAGATACATAAATAGTAATATATTATGCACTAATTTTTTAGACATGATACGTCAATTTGAATAAATACTAAATGTATCTGATACATAGCAATAACCACACATACATGTATCCATCAAAGCTATGTATCTCTTCAACCTTTTTATACGTTGTTTCAATACATAGCGGATACACATGAATAATTTCATAGCACCAACATGGACGGCACAGGGCAATTACCTGAAGGAAATTTGCAAAAAGAAGATATCATATCTTTTTAACCAACCCAGTTGTCCAACAAGTAGGCAGAATCAAGTGATGTTAGCCCTCCCACTGCAAAATTCACACCTTGCCTGAATTTTTAAAATATTCCTTTCATTTTTTCCTTCCAAATATGGTGGCACTAATATATGAGAAATTTAACATCTTTGCATAAGCGTTTAAGAGGAGCCTGAATACTATAACACGAGAGCACAATTAACAATGGACAAAAATTAGCTGATTGATCCATTGACCAATGTATTAATTATCCAAATTTGTAGATACGCATACCAATAAAATCAGCTATTGTTTTTGACTTTTTTCAATCTATTACGATTTGGGTAAGAATTGAAAGAAGAAAATTTGAATTGTTTGAAGCTAGACGGATTTGGAATAGAATTGAGAGAAGAAAATTTAAATTTTGAATTGAATCTGGGCGGATTTGGAAGAGAATTGAGAGAAGAAATTTTGAATTTTGATTTGATTGAATCTTTTAAGATTTTGGGAGAGATTAAAATTAACTAGATTAGCGTGATTTGGGGAACTCACATCAAATTTTATATTCTCTTTCCTTTAAAAGTCTAACTTATTTTGTTTTAATGTATCCGGTTTCTTTGCTATGTATCCGGATATCAATAATTTTGAGGGATTTTTGTAAATTGAAAAAGAGTAGGGATATAATGTAATTTAGGTCCTTACACTATGTGATTTATGTAAATTTATGATTGAGATCCATTTAAATTATATACTCATCTTACTAATTTTTTTAAGTTTTAGTTTTGTTTTTTCCATCTGGAAATTATAGTTTTCCTTCACTTCGTGTAAATAGAAATACAGATATGTTGTTTAAGATAGTTAGTATATATGACTAGTATGATGTTTAAGGTTGCTAATATATAGGATAGTTGGGTAATTTGTTATTATAATTTTTGCTATATATACATGTATTAAACAGAGGAAAAAATACACGAAACATGCATCAGATTTCTTTTATATATTTATATTTATTTTTGCAATCTTTCAATATTTAATTCCAAAAATATTTCACATTAGTAATTGTGTGACCATATTTTAACGTGTCTCACACGTATAGATCTTAGCGATATTGTAAATGCCTATTTAAGTCGATAATCAAGTGTATTTTGAGTTAAGTATTATAAATTGTATATATAGTCCTTTGACCCATTTATAGGGTTTAGCCCCATAATTAATTTACTATCTTATAACAGTTAACTATATATTTATGTTACACTATCTAGTTTTAGCAGACATAGTTATATGATATCCTGTTGCTCTTGGGATTGGTGTCAAGTATCCCATAAAATTAGTCGAGGTGCGTGAAAGCTATTTTGAACATCACTGTCATAAAAAAAAGTTTCTAGTTACGAAATCCTTTGAAAGTTACCAAAAGAGGTAAGCCTTTTAGACCACTTACTTTAACACATTTTTTCATTTGAGATACTGCCTGACCACTTGGAGGGACACAATTTGTTGAATCTCGCATTTTATATTCTAGCAAAAAAACAAAGTATATGATGTTTAAGAATAAGAATGCCTTCTCCAGGTACCCTAGTATTTATATACACCTTATAGATAGTTGTTTCTCTTATTAGATGATGAAATTCATCTTTTTGTTAAAAATGATTTAATCAAAATTCTGCCTAACGTTTGATACCTTACAAATTATTTTTCAATAGAAATACCATCATCAAATGTTCTTCTCTATCTTTTTTGCATTATAGTTCTCTTAATTTGTTGAGTTTCTTCGATTTCTTGACTAATCTTCATAGTTTTTCTTTGTTGTCGTCTTCATTATCTTCTTTCTACAAGCTCTCCCCTCCTGAAACACAAAGTTGTAATCCATTTCATGTTACTACTTTTTTTCAATGCAAATATTAATATAATGAACTTTTTTCTATTTCTTTTTCCTTCAGTCAGCATCACCAAACTTAGGCCAAGAATGACGCTCAACAACACCTTCCCTAAGCCTGGTATTCTCCTTGTTACCTGAGACGTGTTATTGATTTCTCTGTTTTTACTGTCTTCAAAACATTCTCGTCTGGAATTTTACATAAATAGTTTTGTATCAGAATTTCAATAAAAGATCTTCCGGCTGGTAATTACCTGAGACGGTCCCATAAAAGGACATTCTTTGAACCAGGCATGTCAAGGCTATTAAATTCCCTCAGTTTTGCTTTTCAGCTATCAAAGAAGACATTTCCGAGTCACAAACATCTTCAGTAGACAGTGTCTGAAAATGCAAATAAGACAGACAGAACAGAGTCAAACAGCAATCAATAAACATCACAATATATATACCTTTAGTTTTATAGTAATGTTATATCAATCAAGTTCCCAGGAGAGAAGGCCGCGTTTCCCTATTCTAGTAACTCTGTACGTAAGCAAAACCAGATAAGATAATCGGTATTTAAAACATAAAGGACTGACTCTATTAATACTTACAATTTTGCTTAATACTAACGCGGTCAAAAACTCTACAACACAATTTTATTCTGCTGAATTGTGAAGGCAAGGAGCACCACCTGCAGCTCGGTTATTCAATAGGAGTGCATCCACATGGATTTAATCTTATTTCAAAGATCCGCAGGCTACTCCAAAGAACAGAAGACATTCATTAAACAAAATCTGTATGTAATAGTTTTCACTTAAAACAATTCATTGTGTTACCTAGGCTTAGAAGGGAAAACCAGACTGCAGAGGATTTCGGCTTAAAGGCATAGTTCATTATACTCAAAGCACTAACATTGACCTTCTATGTATGCTGATCTCTTTATCTATTTCCGCAACAAACAATGAAATTGTTAAGTTATGATCATTTGATCAACATACAAAAATGGTACTCATTCAGTTTCGAATTTGACTCCTAGAAAGCCACACATATCCAATAGATAAAAGTAAAGAAGTCAACAAATTTAGTCAGAAATTGGACATACCTTTACTTCGGTTATCGTATTATTTTGATGTTGTTAATGTGCTTCTTTTTCTGAATGCTGTGTTATGAAATCGTTATGATTTGTTATGTCTGCTTTGCATCTGTATGTTATTTTTAACTTTGCTTTGCAATGAGTTACTTGAGCCGGGAGTCTTTCGAAAACAGCTTATCTACCTCCACAAGGTAGGATAAAGGTCTGCATACATCCTCCCTTCCCTAAATCCCACTAGGTATGTTGTTGTTGCACGCCTGCTCTGAAGAACAGTATTAAGTAGTTTTAACTTAATACTGTTCATTGTGTTACCTAGGCTTAGGAGGGAAAGCAGGGGATTTGGTCTAAAAGGAATAGTTCATTATAATCAAATAATCACTATATATGCTGCTCTTTTTATCGATTTCCCCAGCAAACAAAGAAACTGTAGATTTTCTGATCATTCGATCAACATACAGACAAACTCCTAGAAATCTCATTTCATGCTACTCATTCAGTTTCTAATTTCACTTCTGGAAACAGTAATGATCAAATCATTAACTTTATAGTAACATAAACCTACGAAGCCACACATAATAATAAATAAAGCTTCAATACAACAATAATGCTAATTTGATGAACAAAAAGTAAAGTATTAGTCAGAAATTGGACATACCCTTGCATGAATGAACTCCTCAATTCTACCATTAGCAAATTGACCAAGAAGCTTAGGTCCTTGACCCTTGTTTGACAAGCACTCAAAAGTTCTAATCTCTTCATCCCTATTGAAGAAACAATCTAGTCCTTCCCCATACAATCGAACCAAAACTCTAGAGACGTTTTCTTTCTTAGTAGGCCCACTTATCCTATAAAACTCATTAGTCATAGCACCACTCAAATGATGAACTTTCAAGTTCTTTATATCCAACACATCTCCCCATTTTGTAGCTAATGATAGAAGCAATTTCATCAATTCCTGCGGCAGAAGCAATTTCAACTATTCCTATGGCAGAATAACCAGTGCTTGATTTCCCTTATTCTCCAGCTCCTGGTGTAACTTCTTTCTTCTTCTTTACAAATCCAAAGAAATCAACAACTTGACGAGCATACCTTCAAATAAAACATAACCACAACATAGTTCAAATACCAGGCAAGAGAAAGACAAGGAGGGGCAAACAAATGTACAGAAACAAAGCACAAATGACAGGATATTCCTAAAACACAACAAACTTGCTAAAGATATATGTTAAAGTCGGCTATTAAAAGGATTTTATAAGCTTCACAAAGTGACCCTACAATTCACTATTATCATGTGCTTCAGTGCAGAAACCCTACAAATTACTGGAGCTGTTAATTAATTGATATACCCATCATCCATACTTCAGAACATCTACTTGACCTCTATGGCTTATTACATGATCAACTGACTGGAACCAAATTCAATCCACAGCTCGGATAACCATTGATCTAGCTAACACCTAAAGAAATTAAGATAATATTGAACAGCTACTAAGGTGTGAAGAAAGATAAAATGATCAGCACTAATATAAGCAGCAATGAGCAGTAGCTAAAAAGAAAGTTGGTTTGCCTCAACAGAAGTAGTAAATAAAACTTCAAGAAAAGAGGATATCCCTGTTTTTAAAGAAGAAATTAGATAAACACTAATAAATATCAACTCTCAGTGGATTCTTTTCAAGCATAGCCCATAACCAGGTAGTTGTCAAGTGCCTACCTGTAAAAGATGTGGAACGTAATGGCATTAGCATGCATTAGCTCTAAAGTAAGGGAATGTTACACAATCAAAGATCAAGAAAGAAGACACAATCAATGAACATTACAAGGTGAGAAATTTATCAACCTGAGGGGCCTGATACCACCAGATGATTCTCACTCCTGTATCACTCTCTTTACATAGACATAGCAATCATATGTTAAACTCTGACTTCTGGGAAACTTCCCCTTGTCTATACTATACTATACTATATATTCCAAGACAGCACAAGATAAGCTCATTTTTTAATCAACAAGGGATAGCAATCAAGTTTGCCAAGAAGCATGCAGTCCCATGGAAAAAGCATCATAACCATTAACTAGAAACAGATACCCGAATCCCCTAAAGAATGAAGTTGACTCATAAGATAGCCCCTAACGAATGAATTTACCTCCATGATGGAAAACCAATGCCGCCACAATCATGGAACATAAAAATATCAGGACAGAACTGATGATGACCATAATGAACAGAAAAATCCATAATCAGAATTCAGATCCAGGTAATTCAAGCAGTTATTAAACTGTTAAAAGCTCATGAAGCAAATAACAATGTTTTGGGCGTAAAGTTATACTCAAAGTGGTTATCGTCAAGTAGACATAATTGAATTTTCTACAACTTAACATCTTCAATATTAACCATCTGATACCTCTTCAATAGTTTTAGACATGTTTCCAACTTGTCGACGCTAAAGTGTTATATAAGTGACTCTCCTCTAGCTTATGCATCGACATCCAGAAATTCAAATAGCTCACCGGAAGTTAAGTTCTATTTCCTATCATGAAAGCACAAATCATGTGCAGGTTAGACCTCAAATCTCTGGAAAACACAAAAAACTATGAACACATAAAACGTACCCATACAAGAGTGCAGAATGTATATCCTTCTCCAACACTTGTGGAGTAACAACGAGAACGCATTTCTCTTTCCATAAACTCGCTCTTCTCAAAGGATTGTTTGACCAAATTGTGCACTCCTGCAATCAGTTTAGAAACAATCGTCTCAAAATGTAAATAACAAAACATTTGCTCTTTTAGGACATTGGATTAGGAAAGCAACTTTAAACTAATATAAAGCAAAATAAAACTTGTAGCTTACTTGTGGAATATCTACAAACTTATGTAATGAAGGTAATTAATTATTCCATCCAAACTAGCATGTATTGTGTTTATTTTACTTCATTTTTGTTATGAACTAATAAATGAGTTTTTATTGGGCGTATCTTTTTTAGGTGGGAGAGAATGTGAAACAAGACTAAATTGAAAAAGTTATTTTTCTATTTTATATTTTATGCCGAAGTTTTTTCTACTTCAAATTTTACATATGCACATAAATTTAACTTATCAAACTTCAGAAGAAAAACATTCAATTTTAATAACTTGGTAGCATAATATCATTAATGAACTGTACTCTGTTATTTAAGTTAAAGTAATACTTTTCTTATTTGTTTTATCTACTTATATGGTAATTACATACATACCTATATATATATATATATATATATATATATATATATATATATATATATATATATATATATATATATATATATATATATATATATATATATATATATATATATATATATATATATATATATATATATATATATATATATATATATATATATATATATATATATATATATATATATATATATATATATATATATATATATATATATATATATATATATATATATATATATATATATATATATATATATATATATATATATATATATATATATATATATATATATATATATATATATATATATATATATATATATATATATATATATATATATATATATATATATATATATATATATATATATATATATATATATATATATATATATATATATATATATATATATATATATATATATATATATATATATATATATATATATATATATATATATATATATATATATATATATATATATATATATATATATATATATATATATATATATATATATATATATATATATATATATATATATATATATATATATATATATATATATATATATAGGTATGTATGTAATTACCATATAAGTAGATAAAACAAATAAGAAAAGTATTACTTTAACTTAAATAACAGAGTACGGTTCATAAATGATATTATGCTACCAAATTATTAAAATTGAATGTTTTTCTTCTGAAGTTTGACAAGTTAAATTTATGTGCATATATAAAATTTGAAGTAGAAAAAACTTCGGCATAAAATATAAAATAGAAAAATAACTTTTTCAATTTAGTCTTGTTTCACATTCTCTCCCACCTAAAAAAGATACGCCCAATAAAAACTCATTTATTAGTTCATAACAAAAATGAAGTAAAATAAACACAATACATGCTAGTTTGGATGGAATAATTAATTACCTTATACAATTTAAATACTAAAACCTATATTGAATAATTAATCATCCTATATATATATTAAAAGGAGGATCTCCAGCCCGTTGATGTGGCATGCCTCAATAATCAGTAGAGCTGTCAATATGGGCTGGCCCATCCCATCCGGGCTAACTCATACATGCTTTGAAATTTGACGGGTCAAGCCGGGCTAGCCCATTTTTGGTGTGGGCTAAAAAATGGTCAGCCCAGCCCACAAGTACATGGGCTATGGGCTTGCCAGGCCAGCCCTCTTTTCTTAAAAATATATTTTTTATAATTTTTTTAATTAAATTATAATTTTAAAATATTATCATAAATATTGACAAGACAATATTATATGGTGTTAGTGTTACTACTTGTTAATCAAATCCACAAATAAAATTATCTTTATAATATTTATTATGTTTGATTTCAAGTAAAAACATAAATATCTAAATAGAAATATTAACCTAATTGTTTTCTAATGATCATAATAAAACACAAAAACTATGACAATACTCCATAGGTTACGGCCTATGTAGTGATTCCCTAGAAGTTTTAGGGAATTTTAATTTTATGTAGTACATATTTTATAAACATAATTTGTATTTAACTTGTAATATTTCAAACTTTAAACAGATTTTGA